TGGACAGTGAAGGGTTTCTTTGTGTCAAGCAAGCGACAAGTGTCTGTTTAATCTTCAAAGTCCACAGAGCCTTGAGGGAACAGAGGCTGTTCCATCATCTTATGGCCTCAACACCTCGGAAATGCATACCCTTCAGTCACAAGGCCAGGGAAGAGTATGGAACTGGAGAATCAAGCCCAGGTCTCTCAGTGCCGTGGCTCAGTGGGATATGCTTCATTTCTGCGCACATCTCATTGGCCAGAACTAGTTACATGACTCTGCTGACTTTATGGGGCTGGGGGAAAAACAAAGTAGAAACAAAACCAGCATTCACATAGATTTGTACCAGACTGTAGGTTGACAAATTCCTTTTTCACTAGTTCACATGGCAGGCCTTTCGCCTTGTAATAATGCCAGTGAAAGACTCACAGACACCACATAATCAGCCAGTCATTGAGATTCGGGCAACATTCTAATGTTTCAGCAGACATGCCACTGGGGCCATCAAAGTGCATAAGTTTCATTTATTACACAAATAGTGGATCAGCTGAAGTGCTGAGAACAACTGAGTTGTTCCCATTGAAAAACATAGTGGCTTTATTCTTATGGAAGCATCAGTATAAGCTTCTTCTAGTTTCTTACGGCACTGCTTGGGAAATAACAGTTTCACTGCATTGAATATCCTCCTAGGAGCCTCATAGCTCAGACACACCACCAAAACATGAGGCAAGAATGTTTGCATTCTTGGCTCCTATGTGTCTATGACCTTGGCTCCAGGGTCCTCCTATGTGTCTATGACTAATAGTCAATGTATGTCACACACACACACACACACACACACACACACACACACACACACACACACATTGAGAACTGAATTGAGAGTTTGGGGTATACACCATCTTTGAGGACACAGTCTATGGCTCCTAATATGTGCTGTGCTGTAGAGAGGCATTGTACCATCGACAAGTAATAATTTCTGATTAACAGTAGCAGGATATCCAGTGAGAAGAGGCTTAGAAACACACTGTTGCTGGAAGAGTTAAGAACAAGCTCCTCATAGGAAAATGCAGAAGACTATTGAGCAGGGACAAGAGGAAAGGAGAATTGTGAAGGCTCCACTTTCTCAGTTTCTGAACTGAACTTTTGCTCACAGCAGGTGAACGCAGGCTCCCTCCCACACTGACACATCCTCCCCTGCCGGTGTGCAGTCTGTTAAGTAAACAGAGACTTTACACTGAGAAAGGAACATTTCTCTATTTTGGCTATAAGTTGTTATTTTTAAAGCTTCATCCTCCAAACATTTTCCCCTGTCCTTGTTTTTCACTAGAAAGATGTACTACTTAAAAAAATTTAACGACATGATAAGAAAAATCCGCTTCTAGCATGCTCTTCCCACTCGGGCCTACTAAGCTCGGGTGTGACTACTCTCTCATGCCCGTGTTGAGCAGCATAGCATTTGAAGTTTTCTCTTTTCTTCTATAGAGCTTCCATGCATCCAGATTTTCACAAAGTAGAGCACACATGGAAATTGTGCTCTGGATACTTCAAATTAAAAGGCCAGCCTCTCTCTTGACTCATATGTTTCTCTGTATTTATCAATACATTTATAGTTAATGCTTAAATATAGTCCCTACTGTGTGCCACACGCCATTCTAAGCACTTTACATAAAAAACTCATTTAACTTTATCTGAGAGTAGGATGATAATTGTGTCAACATTGACATGGGTTGAATCCAGGGAGACAGATGTTAGATATGCAAGGTTTTCTTTCCTTTTCCAGGAACTGTATCCCATTTCATATTGCACCTGTCTTTCTCTTGGTCTGTTTTGCTCTCATTCTAGATCTCCTTATTAACAATGACCATGACTTTCTTCTATGTACCTTAATGTCAAGCACAAGGACTGGTATGTAATAGGCCCTCAATAAATCTTGCTGAATGCATTAAACTAGAGCAAGAATAGACGACAAAAATCTTATGGCTGGAATTTCTTTCTTCTGGCTGTGGTTTGACGTAACAGTTTTGAGTCCTAATTCCTTTATTGGGAAAACGTGAAGATTAATGAAGGTTAATGCTAATCATAGAGGTCAGTTGTAAGAAGTACAGTAAGTTCCTTATATACGACCCTTCAGGTTATAAACTTTCAAAGATGCGAATGTGTATTCACCTTATTTGAGAAGGCACTGTTAGTCTTCGAGGCATAGTAACCGAACGTTGAATAATACACGAAGGTTGCAGTAGCTGTTCAGAGTAAAATCTAGTGCTACTGTGTCATCTATGTTGAGAAAAAAAGAGCTACTATTCAAACATCACTGAATCATTTTTTTTTCAAGTGTGTAGATAGCATTGAATCCAGCAAGGAACCAGAACCTGTGCCATCAATGTCAGGTGTGAGTGAAATTGCCACTCGCTCTCCATCTCCTATTACTGGCCATCTTTCAGCTCCACCATCTCCCACCTACTCTCCCTCCTCCAGTCAGTAACTCTTCTTGCCTATTCACTTGATGCCAGCCCCTGTATGCCAGCTGTTGTACTGTACTGTACTACTGTACTTGTCAAGGTACTATATGATTCAAAATGTTTTCTTTATTTTTGTGTTTGTTTTTTTGGTATTATTAATGTGAAAAGTATATAATACAGTAAGTAGTACAGTACAGTACAACACAACTGATTGTGTAAGTTGGATACCTAGGCTAACTTTGTTGAACTAATGAACAAATTGGATTTATGAACGTGCTCTCAGAATGGAACTCATTTGTATGTAGAGGACTTACTGTAAATGAATATGTCAAAAGTACCTAGTATATTTCAAGTCAGTGTGAAAAGATGGTTTGTTCCATAAGCGAGAGGGGGCAAAGGTTGAACAGTGTTCACTATTAGGGTGATGGGTACACTAAAAGCTGAGATGTCATCACTACACAATATATGCATGCAAGAAATATGCACTTATACACCACAAATATACAAAAATTAAAAATACAGAGAGAAAAGTATGATATATACATATCAATTAGTTAATAAAATTATGCTGCCTTTCTGGAAAAATACATATGACAAATGGCTAATTATTATACTATCTAAAGAGCTCTTAAGAATCAATATGAAAGACCAACAACCCAACAGAAAAATATGGGCAAAGAATAAGAGCAGGCAGCTCAGAGAAAGCTTATATCAATACATTCTTCTATCAACAGTCTATTGGTACAAGCTCTTTGACAGCAATATTTGGACTACTTATTAATTTTAAGAATACCTAAGTCCTTTTATGTGGCAATTCTACTTCTGGAAATTTATTATCTAGCCATCTCTACTTGTGTCCAAAGATGTAAACTTAAGGATAGTCATTGAATGAGATGTTTGTAACAGCAAAATACTTGAACTCAAGTTAAATGTCAACCAGCAAAAAGGCGGTTAAAGAAAGTGTAGTATTCTGTTCGGTGAAAAGCTATTCAACTGTTCAAACAAATTGATGAGGAGCTCTGATATTTGTTAATTAAAAACAATATGCTGGGACAGGACTGGCAGTAGTGGGAAACTGCTGGGGGAGGGGGCACACCTCATCAGCAAGGGTACCTGCACAATGAGCATTTGTATACCTAACCCTGAATTGTACCCCACATCTTTAAAATTAAAAATTAAAAAAAACCAAGATGTTTAACAAGATGTTAAAAAATGTCTTTAGTGTTTGTATTTTAATTGTTTGTATATTTCACAAATAAATATTTGCATATGCATAGAACATTTTAACTTCTTCCTCGCCCATAAAAACACACCATGCCCAAACTTCAACTTATGTTTTTTTTTTTTTTTTTTGAGTTGGAGTCTCACTCTGTCGCTCAGACTGGAGTGCAGTGGCCGCTCCCGGCCACCGCAGCCTTGACCTGCTGGGCTCCGGCGATCCTTCCGCCTCAGCCTTCCAAGTAGCCGGAATTACAGGCATGCGCTACCACGCCCGGCTGATTTTTTGATTTATTGTAGAGATGAGGTCTCGCTACCCAGGCGGGTCTCGAACCCGCGGGCTCAGGCAATCCACTCACCTCAGCCTCCCAAAGGCGCAGGATTACAGGCTGAGCCACCGAGCCCGGCTCAAAATTCAATTTATGAACAACAACAAAAAGAACAAATTCCTTTTGTACTTAGTATCCATTTAAATTCTTCAAAAACCCTATGGAAAAGATACTGACACCTGCATTTTAAAATATTATATGTTATGAACTTTTGAACTTGCTTACTTAATGGTTGCAACTCCTAATATTAAAATTTTGCTGCCAAAGAAAAAGAATGAGCTTCTATTGATGATGCAAGGCATCCTTCATCATCTAACCTTTTCCTATTTTCCCATCTTCTCACCTCCAACACACTGCTCCATGTTCTTACATGTTGCTCCTCCTTTTCACATTTAGGACCCTCTTACAAGGATGTATTCACACATCTACTTGTTGAAATCCTACATTCTCTTAACATGTCAACGCAAATGCCACGTTAGTAGACAAGTCCTTACCCACGATCCTTGGCAACACCAGTGGGCCCAGCTCAACAACGGTCTACAGTTATCGTAGATTTTCTTGTACTTCAAAAGTGCTTCACAGCATATCTATTAGGACTTGTTACATTAGTTCAAGGTCATGAGCATCTTGAGAGTAGAGGCCCTGTTTTTATTCCCTTAACTACCATAGTGTCCAGAGTAGAGTAGCAGAGCAATAAGTATTTATTAGAAAAACAGTTGACCTGAATCTTCATAATTTTTGATTACCCATAGGTTGAAGAACTCCATATTTAACCTGGCAGATTTAATCTATCTCTTCTAAGAATTTCATGAGAATGTTTTATTGATAGAAAAATTTTTTTTGTCTTGCCTTCTAAAGCTCAAATTAATGGTCATGCTTCATGAAGTGAATGGGCTACAGTCTTTTTGTTACAGATTTAAAGCTAGTAGATTTTTATGAATGCAAGCCTTATCATGTCTGTGGAAGCTTTTCCATTTTTTAATACTTTTTTTTTCCTCCTGTGTTTTCATAGGAACCAGGGGAAATGCGTAGAGGGCATGGTGGAGATCTTTGACATGTTGCTGGCTACGTCATCTCGGTTCCGTATGATGAATCTTCAGGGAGAGGAGTTTGTGTGTCTCAAATCTATCATTTTGCTTAATTCTGGTGAGTTGATAACATGAGTGAACATAATGCTGGATGAAATATTTACTTGTATTATTCAACCAGGTACAGTCTACATGCTACCAAAGTGTAATGTCCTACATTGAAAGAAACTCCTGACACACATTTAAAATAACCTATCATCATCGTAGAGTACTTACAGAGGTAGGGTTGTACTTGTCAAATAGATGAATGAAAAATTATAATTACACATGGACTCAAATGGCCTTTCTGTAGAAATATATGTATTTTTTCACAGATGTGGGGATGCTGTTATTAAAATGGTATATGTATGTAGACATATGCTTGTAGATAGTTATAGATGCCAGAAAGTAAGTAGATCAAGTGACTCTGTCAAGAAACTATGACCAATTCCAAGCCCAGAAAAAAAAAAAAGACAGGGATATTTGAGAAAGACCGTGTTTCTGGTAGAAACTGATTAGCTAAAAATATAGTTGACTTTGAGATAAAAAAAATCTGGTTCTGAAATGGAGGGATGTGGAATGCAGTAAACTGTCAGCTGAAAGAGATTTCTGTTTGGTCTGTGGAGTCTAATTCAATGGTTCTCTCTTGTTTGTTCATTTGAGAAAGCTTAGCTGAGAGCTCACATCTGGTTGTTGTTGTTATTGTTGTTGTTGTTGTGTGCCTAGTGAGGTTGGCTGTTGTATAAAGAGTCACTCTAGGCCACCCAGATTGAAACTATGGCTCAGCCTGAAATAGTGCACAGACTGTCCCTAGCCTCCTTGGTATTTGGATCTAAGTTATTTGCTCTACAGCCCGTGGGACCTAATGCTTGCCTTGGGGGTCAGTTGCACAGTTGATCCCCTTAACCTGGAACTTACCACGCCCTCCAGCCTCACTTCATGCCCCTTCTCTCATTCTCACATAGAAGTCACAACTATTTTGAAGCCCTAGGCCTGATTTAGTTTCTTACACCTTAAGACACACTCTCAAAATCTCCATAGCTGAACTGTAGCTTGTATTGATCACATACAGAAAGAATCCACCTTCCCTGCTCTTTTCACATGTTTTTGTCTTTTCGTGATGAATGCCAATCCCCTCCCAGCTTCCTTAACCATTTTTCCACTTCTCTTCCCCCACCCATGCTAGTAACCTGTGTTGCTTATGGTTATCACAGTAATCATTCTCACTTATCACCCAATAAATGGAAATCTGCACTATTACACTAAGCAAGGACTGAATTACAGAAGGAAGTTCCCTGGAAAATAATGTGATCTACACTAAGGAAGTGATTACCACTCCATTCAAGTTTCTGGTTCCACTCACATGCATTGTCCCTTTCATTTTAGTCGTTTGTCCTGTACACGGAAGGGTCCAGATCCCACAATGGCTCTTTATTGAATGAGAGTTCTGGGAGCAGTGCCACTCGGCTACACGGTGCCAGGTCCTGAACCTGCGCCTTCTTCGGTGGAGGGTTGGCACATGCTGACGGCTTTCATGTACGCAATCTGGTAACTTCAGGGAAATCAGGCCTATCAAGTGTTAGTACTACCCCCTCACTACCCCCACCACTTTAACCAGGAAAAAGTATCCCAGACAGGAAGTGAAATTAGCTGGAGTTGTATAATCAGCGCAAGTGGATGCTCTGATTTGCCTAATCAAAGATATTTCATGGCCAGGCATGGAAGCTCATGCTTATAATCCCAGCACTTTGGGAGGCCGAGGAGGGAGGATTGCTTGAGCACAGAATCGGCCTGGATAACATAGTGAGACCTCGTCTCTACAAAAAGTCAAAAAATTAGCCAGGCATGGTGGTGAACTTCTGTTGTCCCAGACACCTAGAAGAAGGAGTCAGCAGGATCTCCTGAGCCCAGGATGTCGAAGGTGCAGCAAGCCTTGATTGAGCCACTGCACTCCAGACTGGGTGACAGAGTGAGACACTGATTAAAAATGTAAAAAAAATTTTAAAATTTATTCAGATCTATATAGCCTTTTCCTACATTTTTGTTTTGTTTCTTTTTAAAATTATTTGATTATTTTTTTCCTTTGATTTAGGGTCTTACTCTGTCACCCATGCTCAGGCGATCCTTCCAAATCAGCCTCCAAGTAGCTGAGACTACAAGAGTGCACCACCATGCCTGGATGATTTTTTTAAATACTTTTTTTGTAGAGATGAGGCTGATCTTGAACTCCCGGGTTCAAGTGATATTCCCACCTCAGCCTCTCAAAGTGTGGGGATTACAGGCATGATCCACTGAATCTGGCCTTTTTTCTTTCTAAACGATTGTTCCAAAAAGTCAAGACTTTTTCCATCAAAACATTGAATTTATAGGCCTAGGTCTTTTACAACCTAGGAAAAAAAAAAAAGCTTTCAGCTCCTCACAAGAAAGTATTTTAAATTTTTGCCACCATGCCTGGCTAATTTCTTGACTTTTTGTATAGAAGAGGTCTCACTATGTTATCCAAGCTGGTCTTGAACTCCTGTACTCAAACAATCCTCCCTCCTTGGCCTCCCAAAGTGCTGGTATTATAGGCATGAGCTTCTGTGTCTGGCTGTGAAATATCATTGATTAGACAAATGAGAGCATCCACTTGTGTTGCTTATTTAAAGACTGGCACCTTAACCTTGAGACTGTATTTCCCACTGTAGAATCTGGCCTCCATCTGACTCCTTACACTTTCGTGCTCTGTTCTGGGCTTTCACTTTTTTCTTGGAATCCTCCATGTGCTTCCTCACTCTGGAAGGGTTGGAGTGGTATTTTGGAAGTACGGGGCACTGTATGCAGGCATAGTCTGCAGTTATGTTTTTCATGAGATAACAGGGTGGCCCACTCCTTTCTATCAAGGACGGCACTGCTGGCTCAGGAGAGCAGTGACCAAACAGACGCAGTCTCTCAACCTTCGACACAGTAAAATCACTCTTCTCACTACAAGAGTGAGCTATGTTTTAGGAAGCAGATTTGCTGCTGAGCACGGCTCCCAGTGTCTCATATTGTTCCTGAAAAACAGAATAAAAAAGGACAAGATTCTAAAACACAATGCTGTGGTACTAGGAGCCCTTCTCAAAGTAAAAAAGCAATCAGGCGCATGAAGGCTACCACTATCAGCAATTTCTCCTCACAACGAGCAATATGGATTTTTCTAAAATCCTAACCCATTTATGGCTCTCATCTACGGCCACTCTTTCCCTATCAAGAGACAAATAAACAAGTTACTCTGACTCCAGGAATCTCTGACAGAAGCCAAGCTGGAAGCTGATCGGGAAACCTGACCTAGAAGATGCCTGCCTGATGCCTGGAAAACAAAACCTTATTGCATGGAGGAGCCCAAGGTTTTGTGTTGACCCTCCGTTGCCAAGGTCTGAGAAAGCTGGGTTTATATTGGCCTTGACTTTGGGGCCGAGGCACAAGGAGAATTGAAAGGTTGTTGTGAGAACCTGCTAGGAATGTCTTTCTGGAAGCTTTTGAGAGGGTCTCCCCAAATGCCAACATTTCCATAGGAAGTCTTCTTCACAGCTACTTGGGAGTGGGAGATATTCATCATGATTTCTGCCTCATTTAGAATAATTTATTACTTTGCTTGAAAAATCTCAGAATCATCATCTGTAGGACAAACACTGTTTGTTTTTCCTCTCCACATCAAAGGACAGAAGCGTTCCTGGTTAATCCGAAGATGCCAACTTCAAGGCATTCTGAGAACTCGCTGGACAGAGCTCAAGTGAAGGGCAAGTAAGATCAGGGCAGATGAGCTCAGGGCAAAAGCCTGTGAAGCAGCAGCTGTGGGGGAAGGATAAGGAGTTGCAAAAGGGGACCGAGGAGGAGGTTCTGGGCCTGTCCACGGCGTCCCTTCTGCCCAGTGGGACCTCAGTTTTCCTTCATGATATAACTCAAGTATTCCTAATTATTCTAGGTCTTGCTTACTTTGTTCAGGAGGTCTTGCTATTATCTGAGTCCATTACGATTTTCCAATTCTTTTTTTTGTTGTTGTTGTTTTTGGTTTGTTTTGATTTTTTTTGGGAAGAAGAAAGAGAGAGAGAAAGAGAGAGAGAGAGAAAGAAAGAGACTGGACCCCAGTCTAGTGCAGAAGCTGGTTTTCCAATTCTTAAGAGCCCGTACCACACCGTCTAGTATTTGATTGGCTGGTTGATTGAGTCAATCATTTATTCAATAATTTAATGAGTTCCTACTGTGAATTTTGTGCCAAACCTAGAAAAAGGAAAGTTTCAGTGTTGTAGGGTATTTTTTCTTTGTTTTTTACTTTAACCTGGATTGTTCTCTCATTATTTTTTTGAAAAAAAGTTTAAATTTTTGTTTGAGACAGGATCTTACTCTGTCACCCAGGCTGAAGTGCAGTGGCACAATTATGGTTTAGGTGATCCTCCTGCCTCTGCCTCCTGAGTAGCTGGGACTACAGGTATGCACCACCACACTCAGCTAAGTTTTATATTTTTTGTAGAGACAGGATCACACTTTGTTGCCAAGGTTAGTCTTGAACTCCTGGCCTCAAGTGATCCTCTTGTCTTGGCCTCCCCAAGTGCTGGGACTACAGATGTGAGCCACTATACTTTGGCTGTTCGCTCATTGTTTATGCATGTATTTCCTAATCTCCCTATAAATTATTTATACTCTTTTTGTACTCCTCACATTCTCCTTAACCTGTGGATTGTCATCAGATATTATTACATCATTCAATCATTTAATAGATGCTTATTTGCTGGACATGGCAAATAGGACCTGGAAAGCCCTCATTTTTCTCATGCTGTTCCTGCCATTCTGAAACGTATCATCCTCTCCAGTGCCCTGTAGATCTAGCTCATGTCAAATTATTAAATGGAATAATAGTACCGATCTCTTTGGTTTATTGTGGATAAAGGGGAAATTGTGTGTATAAAGCCTCTAACAAAGTTCGTGGAACATGGTAAACCCTTAGCCAAAGACAGCTATCATCATCATTGATGAGGATCTCTGGCTTAAAGTGGGGAGGTTTATGTCATTTTTCAATATAATTGCTTTAGTTTAAAGGACTTTAGCTAAGATTACAAA